CAGCTGCTCTGCGCAGCGGGGCTGTGTCGAGTGGTCAGAGGTACTTTGAAATGTGTCGGTGAAACCAACGGTAGGGTGCTTCCAGGCGTCTTTCCCTCATTATGCCGTGTTGGCACAGGTGGCTGTGTGTGAGCCTTTCTTCATACTGTTAGGAGCCCATGTCTTCACGTTTCCTTGTTGGCGTCTCATAGAAAAATTAAGTAAGTTCAAGTTGTGAGATATTTATTTGCTGGTGGAAGGCCTGCTAGGCCTCAGGTGGGTCACCGGGGTGGCTGACACTCCTTATCCATGGGGACACCCTTGGGTGTTAAACCGTTCAAGCCTGATTTTTTCAGAGAGATAGAGGAGGCTTCTGAATCCTCAGGAGCTGTGGTGTTGCCCTGCAGAGCTGTGGGATGGAATGCACGGGTTGACTGAGGAGAGGAGCGGGTAGACATCGAAGCATAAACCCCACGTTCCTTCTCACCACCTGTAACTGCGGCTCAGGCGCACTGTTCTCTCTCAGGTGGTTTGGCACCTTCCGAGAATGTGATTTCCTGCCCGGAGGGACTTGTAGCGCTTCATTTCTCCAGCGTGTTTGTTCCTTCTCCCCACCCCTTGGTGATGGAGCATTTCCACCTGTGCTGACACAGAGTTAAGCGTTTTGTCGCTCACTGTGGCGTACAGCTCTGGGGTTCTGTAGGCTGCGCTAAGACCCCTACACATACGAGGAAGAGCCATGGACACACTGGTAGCTGATTTGTGATCTCAGTGTTGTTACTGGATTTATATCCGGTGTTTTCAAGCTCAGCGTTTGATCCTTCTCGTTGTTCTTGTTTACGGGTGGGACACTTTGCACAAGTGCTTCTCTATGTGTGGGATTATTCTGTCTGCAGGTGCTCTCATTCAATTTCTCTGTTAGCATGCTTTAAGGTACAGTAATGCTGGGAAAAACTCTCCATCAGAGGCATTACTCGGGACTAGCTACCGTATTTTATTTATTTTTTGTCACAGTACGTTAATCTGAGTGAACACCACCCAGTTAGAGGACAGCCCTTGGTGAAAGCCAGCTGAGTTTTCTGTGACGTTGGTTTTTATTTCTGCTGCTTGCACCTCAGCATAGGCACGTTTGTGCGTGGTTGGTGTGCGTCACTTTGCAGGGCTCCCAGGCGGTCTTACGTGAGAGGTTACTTTGTTGATGTCTGATTTTAAAATTGAATCTTAACTAAAGCCTTATTTTCTTTCCAGATTGGGTGTAGAGTCTAAACTGCTTCTGAGCGTCTCTCTAAAAATTTCTTGCTTCTCCACATCATTCTCCTGATGGAAGACCAGACGGGGTTCCCTCTCTGCTGTTTGTGCTGAGCAGCTGCTCGGAGAGGTGGTGAATGAGTGCAGATACACTCAGTGATGGTAAGGTGTGCGATTACATTTCAAGGTGGTGTAGTTTGACCCTGGCTGGCAGCCAAACACCACAACAGCCACTCCCTCACCCTCCACCCTCCCGGGGATGGGGAGAGAATTAAAGGGAAGGGAAAAGAGACTCATGGGGTGAGATAAGAACAATTTAATAACGAAACTACAATAATATTGGAAATGATAATAATAGTAATATATACAAATATACAAATGGGTGACACACAGTGGCACTGCTCACTACCCCATGGCCAAGGCTCAGCCCGTTCCCAGCTAATGGTCCTGGAGCAGGGAGAGTCCTGAAAACACAATCCCAGAGCAGAGGTAAGAGCCTGAGTGTCTGAGACTGAGACGATCCTGAGAGAGGGTGACCCAGAGACAGGGAGATGACCCAGAGGGACAGAGAACCCTTCCGGACAGAGCCTCCCATCTCCCCTGGCCATGCCGTGCGTGGGATGGAACAGACCATTGGCCAGTTTGGGTCTCAGTCCTAACCCTGAGGTGGAATCCTGGGCTGGTCACTGGGGCTGTGCTCCCTTCCAGCTTCTCGTGCCCCTGCAGACACGGGCACAGCAGAGAAGCTGTAAGGTCCTTGAGTGTCCTGGCAGCAGCTGTAACCATCAGTGTGTGATCAGCTTCTGCTCAGCAAAAACCCAAACCAGCCTCACCCTGCTGCTGGGAAGAGAGTTCCCTCTGTCCCAGCTGACACTGGGACACAAGGCTAAGGTCTTTTCTGTAGCCTTCTGTGAAGGCTCAGGCACCATACTGATGGGCTCTGAGCCAAAGAGTAGAAATGTAAAACTGCTTGGCTAACTGCCAGAACACGTACAGGCAGTTTCTCCATCTCCTAACCAGTCATACTGTTTTAATCAGCACCTCCAGACTTGCTGAAGTGCAGCTGAATTTGTTCTGTTGGAATACAGCAGGATGAGCCAGACCTAGTCGGGAACAGCGGTAGAAATTCCACTTCCTACAACCAGCTCCATATGGAAAAACACCAGTGCCACTTGGTACCTGAAGATGTAAAATAAAGCAAAACTGAGTCAGGATGTTGAAGGATGTCAAAGCCCGCCTTGATTTCTTAGGGTTTGGAGGTGAGGGACTTGCTGACTAAAAGCTGCACTGGTTAAGTGAGGCCTGCCTTTGTGCACAGGGCAGAGTGAGTTAACTGGTGAAATGCCGTGTGAAACCAGTGTGCCTCTGTCCACATATTCCCTGCCCCCTGTGCAGTTTCACTGGTCCCCAGGAGCACTCTAGTGAGAGGTTTAAGTGCCAGTTAAATATAAAGAAGATCTTGGGAAGATTTAGGTGAACAAATTGCTGAGATACGGAGTTTCTAATGAGAAATTTCAGGTCTGTGAGATTGGGAGTGGCTGCTGTCTTAGAGAGTTGAGCAGATTAAACAAAATTATAGAAAACGCTCAACTCTTTCCTTGATTTGATTTTTATTAAGCAATTGGGGCTGGACAAGAAGACCTCCAGAGGTCTCTTCCAGCCTCAGCCATTCTGTGATTCGGTGCTCAGCAGGGAGCATTAAACTGCATAATAAAAAGAAGTTGTGTGTGATTTCCACGGGCCTCTGTTTTGACCATGACTTTGTTTTTGTAGGTGCTGTCTTCACTAGCTTGTGATGAAAGCAGCAAAGCACTGTGCATGTTACATAGTAAAGTACAGTGAAAATCCCAGTTTCTTCAGTTGTGGTAGCGTGACTCTATTGCTTTTGTTTTTTTTTTTTTCTCCATTTGAAACTTTGCTACCTTGATTCCTATTTATCTGTTTCTTCTCATTCTTTTCCTAAGGTTCTAATGTGGGAATTGCCCCAGTTGTGGTTGCTGCTGATGCTGCCCTGGGAAGATGCCTTGACAGGGAATTAACTCCAGTCAGTGATGGGCTGTGGGACAAGCAAGGTGCTTCCCGAGCCCCCCAAGGATGTGCAGCTAGACCTGGTGAAAAAAGTCGAACCCTACACGGGCCACAATGATATATACAAGCATTTCATCAAAGATGACTGTGGGGCTGTCATCAAAGCTGGCTCTCCCTCACCTCCGCGTCACACTAACCCCTATCCTGGGAACCATCTGCCTGCCCACGTGGACCAGCCTGAACCCCTCAAGAACAAAGTGGCTAAATACCGTGCCAAATTTGACCCCAGAGTGACAGCCAAGTATGACATTAAAGCTCTGATCGGGAGAGGGAGTTTTAGCCGTGTTGTGCGGGTGGAGCACAAGGCCACCAAGCAGCCCTACGCAATCAAGATGATAGAGACCAAATACCGGGAGGGGAGGGAAGTGTGCGAGTCGGAGCTCAGCGTGCTGCGGCGGGTTCGACACACCAATATCATCCAGCTCATCGAAGTGTTTGAGACCCAGGACCGTGTGTACATGGTGATGGAATTGGCCACCGGAGGAGAACTGTTTGATCGAATCATCGCTAAAGGTTCCTTCACCGAGAGAGATGCCACACGTGTGCTGCAAATGGTGTTAGACGGTGTGAAGTACCTGCATACGCTGGGTATCACACACCGGGACTTAAAACCAGAGAATCTGCTGTACTACCATCCAGGGACTGACTCCAAGATCATGATTACAGACTTTGGGCTGGCCAGTGCTCGGAAGAAGGGAGATGACTGCTTGATGAAAACCACATGCGGGACCCCGGAGTACATTGCTCCCGAGATCCTGGTCAGGAAGCCCTAAGGTGGGCCCTGGGTGTTATCTCCTACATTCTCCTGAGCGGCACGATGCCCTTTGAAGATGACAACCGCACCCGCTTGTATCGCCAGATCCTGAAAGGAAAATACAGTTACTCAGGCGAGGTGAGTGTGGCGAGGGTTCTGGTGAGGGGAAGTCGAATGCGAATCTCGCTGTAGGTGAGTATTTGTGATGACTGGAAGCTGGCTGTGGTGTGCAGGGTGATGATGTTACCAGGGTTAAAAATATCTGCAATTCTGGCTTTTTAAATCCTTTCCAGTTTTCTGTCTGCTTTCCAAAACTGCTTCCAGTGCAGCACAGTGAGCTGCTTTGAAAACCGTGTATCTAAAGAAGGGAGAGATCTCTTTCTGCAGATTAGAACTGGAGGGACTGGCAGAACTGGGGTGCTTGTGGGTTGGTGGCTGGGGAGACTGCAGCTGTGGTAAGCTGCTGTCTGACACTTCACCGCTGAAACTCCTGCCAGGGTGAGTGTTTGAAATGTAGCATGGCTATACCTGGTCTGATTCCTGGTACAAATCCAAGTGCAGTCTGAAAAATACCTTTGCTGAAGAATGAGTTATGGCAGAGAAAGGGGCATGTGCTTCCTGGATCTGGAGACATTTCTGAATTTGATCTGCCTTGTCTCTTGAGCTTAGTATGTGACAAAACTGAGGATTAAAGGACAGTTTTCTTGGATAACTATGGAAAGAGGAACCTTGGGGGATAGATTTTAGGCAGACAGTGGGTGCCCCTATGCTCCCAGAGTCCTGTCACTCTGCAGAACGGCGGGGTGGCAGGCTGACGCAGCTCCTGCTGACCTGCTCCTGGTCACGGTGGGAGACCTCGGCTGCCAGGCGGCTCCTCTGCCAGCACAGTTGCCAGGTGTAGGTGTCGCCTCACAAGAATCATGCTTACGGAAGAACTGAGTATCCAAATTTGCAAGCTGTGTTTCTGCCTATGTCCTTCACTGGAAATATTAGAAAATGAAGCTTTTATAACCTCTTCAATAAGAGAGGAGAGTGTTTACATTCCTGAACACCATGATTTTGTGAGATGAAGCTCACTGAGGAAGTGTTCATGAGTGGTTAAGTTTATGTTTCTGAAGTGGTGGTGAAATAACTGTCAAAAAAAACAGAATAAATTAATGATTGTTCTCATATTTTTAGGTGTGACACATGTTGGCATTTTAGTGATAGATGGAAGGAGTCTAATATTAAAGTTTTTAAACATATTAAGCTGCTTTAGGGTTGTGTTTTTTTTAAAAAAAAATCACATTCTGAAGGATTTTCGGAGGTGTCAGTAACTTTTTGATACTTTAAAGCTGTCAGGCCAGCTTGTGCTGATAGTTGGAGTATCCAGGTTAAATGAGGCTGCGGAATGTAGGAGACCACCGAGGAGAGCACAGATTTGACACCTTTGTGAATCTGTTAATTCTTCCCGTGAGCACTCCTTAGAAAGTCCCTGCTGTGCAGAGGAGACACAAATGTGAAGAGTCCCGAAATTCGGCACTTTCTGGACCAAGTGCGTTCCTTCCTTTAGGAACTGCTGCATTAGTTTCTTGCCAAAAGTATTCTGTCAGCTGCTTCCTGGAACTCCAAGCTTCAGCTGGCTTTGTCAGCCTTTGCTTCTCATGTCAATTTGTCACGTTAATATGATTTCTTAACCAGTTGCAGAGTTTTAAGAATGCAATCGGGTTATCCTAATGCAGATATAGATTAATTGCCAGCAGCACGGAACATCTGCAGGGTCATGCTGAAAGGCAAAGCCCTCGTTACCTCGGTTACCTTCTAACCAGTGCTAGGAGATACATTAAATTATTTTTCTCACGTGAAAAGGTCAGTTCACTCTGATGTGTTTGGTGTAGCAGAACTCATTTCACGTGCGTGCACCTCCTCGTGGGTTCCCATTCGAGCAGTGGGTGGGTGCTGGCTTGGCTCAGACTGGATGTTGGCCTCTGGACGGCAGGTTTTAGAGCTTTTGAGAGTCCTTGTCCAAGCTCAGGTTTGGTCCTTTTCAGCTCCATTGTGTTCGTCTTGGCCATTCATTTTTCTCCTCTCCTTCCAGTTCTTCTATTTTGAAGAAGCAGTGTGGTGGGGTTTTTTGGTGAAAGTTCTCCCTTTGGATTTTTTTTTTTTGGGTCCCTGGTTCTGTGTCAGCCCCATGCCTCAAGGTGCCGGAAGGTCAGTGAACTCTGAATGTGCTTCTTCCTGTTGCGGACCTGCTTTTCTTCATCTCTCTGACATATTGTGCTAATGGGTTCCATAGTTTATTTTAAAAGCATATGGAAAAGCTGTTCACTTCTTAGTTTGTATTTGCCTCTGGTTGTTTACCTGGTATTTTTCTGGGTATATCTCCTTGGTCCCCTTTAATTGAGAAACTAGATAGTAACTGAAATACTAGGGCCTGAGCAGGGAGGCCCTGAACCAAAGTTGACCTCGAGATGAACCTCACAACCTAGCAATATGTCTGATATGTATAATATTGATCACATAAG